GCACACATAAGCACACATGTACAAGCACACATGCACACACACATGCGCACACTCTTGCCCGATACATACAATTGCCCAAACTGTACCATTTTCTCCTACGCATATAGAAAGTACATTTGAAGACAAAAAGGAACTGGCACTCACCCCTCCCTCACTCTGTCCTTTACCCACGTTTCCCTCTGATCCTCCCCCAGGCCACTCTGGAGACTCCAGAGCAACTGAGAGAAGAAAAGAAAGCTTTCTCCCCAGGATTCAGTGAAGACTCTACAGACAGCCTCCACCCGCTTCTCAGGAAACAGCCCAAGGAGGACGTGGATCCCACATCTAGGGGCAGTTCCCACTCACAGAAAGGTGCTCAGAGATGCTTCCAGATCCCAGCACGGGGAGGGCTTTAGTCGCTGCCCAGCGGGTCAGTCATCAAGAGGAAGGGAAGGAATAATGTGAGGGCCGGGTTGGCTTAAATGCAGGCCCAATCAGAAATATTGCTTTTGGTAAAGTACTGCCCGCCTCTGATGCCCAGTTAATAGAACCCTAACTGTGTGCAGGCTGGGAAATATTGCAAAAGGGAATGTGGAAAACCGCGTGCCTCGGGTGACCTCCCCTGGTGCTCTGTGGCACCATCCCCCAGCACAGGGCTCCTGGGAAGCCTCCTTCCCTCCTGCCTTTTCCTCCTCGGGGCCAAGTACCCCCTCCCGACACCCTCCTGCAGTCAGACCCGCAGGCAGTGCCCCTCCATGGCTGGGCGGGCTGCCTCTCCGTGGCAAACCTGTCACCCCTCCATGCGTGCAGCAGTGCACACACGGGCACACACGAGCACACATACCGTGGTCCTGTCCCCTGGCCTCTCTCGGTCTCAGAGCCTCCCAGACCGGCCGGGTCCCGCGTCTCCATGCTCGGCCAGGTGGAAGCAGCTGCCAGTGCCTGGTGGAGGTGAATCCCGAGGAGGGCAGGGAGCAAGGAGAGGACAGCAGGGGAGTTACCAGCTTCCCAGGGCCTGAATCCTCCTGGCAGGAGGATTTCCGAGTCTTTCTGCGGAGGAAGAGGCTTCTGGAAATAGGTTTCACATCCACAGAAGCGCAGAGGCAGCCCGAGAGGAAGTTCGGGGCGTGCCTGGCCCAGGGTGAGCACGTGAGGAGCAGCAGGGACTCAGGGAGGAGCCAGCGTCGGGGACACACAGGCAAACCTTCCCCGGCGCTGCCCACCTTTGGAGGTCACGACATAGAAAAAGGAGTTTCTCTCACAGAAACTCCTGGTGTGAGAGATCGCAGTGTCCAAAAGCCCCATTCTCTACTTTATAAGGAAGTCGGACACTGAGAAAGACATTTTTTTATTTTACTGGGGTTAAAAAACCCATAACATCAAATTTACCATCTTAATTATTGTCAGCGGACTGTTTGGTTAGTGTTAAGTACGCTCACGTTCGCCGGATCTGCAGAACCTTCCACCCTGTAGCGCCCCTCCCCGCCCCACTGACCACTTTCTACTTCCTGTTCCTGTGGTTTTTCATGACTCCAGATACTCCCATGAGCGGAATCATACAGAATCTGCCCTTTTGTGGCTGCCCTATTTTGCTTAGCAGAATGTCCTTGCGGCTCATCGACATGAGCAAGAGCTTTCAGCGGGATCCTCCGCACAGGACGCAGAGGCTGCAGACACCGTGCACTTTGGCTCACGCTGGCTTTTTAAAGGTCTGCAGTGGTCTGAGCCTTCCAAAGGGGCCGCACAGGAGGAGCCACGGGGTCTGCTGAGGCACGGGGCTGCGTGCTTTAGACATGAAGTTTCTGAGGTAGCCAAAATCACAGGTTTTGCGGTGCTGCTCTCAGCCTATCACATCTGGAGGGATCCACCTTCCCCTGGGACTGGTCCCCATGTGCCACCCTCAAGGACTCCTCCACCTCGTTATGAACCCAGAGGAAAACCTGGTTGTGCTGGGATGGCCCAAGAAGGGTTTTGGGGACACACAGGACGCACCTTGGCGGGGGGGGGAGTGACGAAGCCTCTGCCACCCCCACCCACTTACCTCCTTAGTAAAGAAGGACCCCCACCCTTCCTCGGGCAGTGGGTCGACACACATAAAGCCACAAGTCCAGAAGACAGAACCTTCAGCCAGGTTAGTGCCGTCCACCACCCCCCCGGGTCACTGCCAGACGCAGGGGTCCATTTAGGAGCAGAGCCGAGGGCCCAGCAAGAAATCATTTCCCCAAAACAGAGAAGACCATAAACGTAGTGAAGAAAAAGCTCGCTCATTCTTACATGAAATATTAAGCATCCGTGGATTGCTCTGAAAATAACTCCTCTGAGTCTTAGCAAATCGATTATTTTCTAAGTTGACCATTTTGCAAAATGATTTTTCAGCAAATTAGCTCTTGGAGCATTGATTCTGTGTGGCAGGAAGGCTGCCTCACTCCAGCCTGTCATTGCTCTGAGGCAGGATGGGGGCTCCCTGCCCCCTAGCGGCTCTGTGACTAATGACAAGTGCAGCAAAAAACGCTCCCCGGGGCCTAGAGCATCTTGCAGGCTGGTGAAACAGCCCTGTCCCCTCTGCCCCTCCCAGACTCTCACAGAGGGCAGGAAGGAGAGGGACTGGCTCTTCCAGAAATCAGATGGCCCAGGAAGACACAAGTAAATGCAAAGAGAAATCTACCAGGACCAAGCACCGTGTTAGACACAAGGAGCACAAAAATCAGCAAGACATATCCGTGGTTCAAGGAGCCCTGACACAGCCTGATGACGCAGAAGGACCAAAGCCGTGGTTGCGAAACAGTGTGGCACTCTGCGGTGGGGGTGCACCCGTGCTGCAGGGGGTACAGAGGAGGAGCTGCAAACCCCAGAAGGTAGAAAAACCACCAAGTGGAAAAATAAACTTAGGAACAAATCCACAGAGTGGCACCCACCATGCAGGCACCGCAGGGGAGAAGGCCGTCGGCAGCGCGGAGGGGAGGGCTGCGCAGGGAGGTAATGTTAACGGAGTCTCGAAGGGCGGGTGGAAGTTCGCCCGTCAGACAGTGGAGGGAGGGACACGCCGGCCGAGCTGTCACAGGCACGGGGTGCGGACAGCCGCTGGCGTGTGTGGAGAAAGGGGCCAGACGGGAGGCAGAGGACCCGTTAGAGGCCGCTGCGGTGCCCAGCTAGAAACGCATGGCGGACAGGGACACGGACATCTAATATGTTTGGGAAATAAGAGCAATGAAAGAATTTTTGTAAAAAGATGAACTCAGAGTCGTCAACACAATTGTTGCAGTTGCCACATCAAAGGGAGTGCTGTTCACAGCACAGACTTCATTCTTGCTTTGAAAACCGTCATATGCTGCTTCACGGCAAAGACGGAAAACGTGTGTGTTTACTACCGTTTCGGCAGATGGCAGTAAAGTGTCTCGTAACTACGTTTGTATGTTTTGACAATTTTCTGATGGAATTAAGTGTCGTATTCAAACAGAGCTCGTGTTTGTTACAATAATAATTAAGAAATAATACACTTATTTTAAAATTTGAAACCTGAAGAAGGGACACCTTTTTCCAATTTCACATAAAGGACAGGGTCACGGGGCTGACTGGATGTGGACCAACCTGTGGTCACAGCCCCTCCTGGTGGCCTTTGTGGACAGAGGGCTGCGAGGCTGCTGTTCTGTAGGAGACGAGCGCATGAACGCAGGGACACCGAGCTGGAGGCTTCTAGAAACAGGGCAGACAGGGAAGCCCAAAGGCTGTGACTGATTCCTGTTTCTCACGGGTTATGCATGTCAACCCTCCCACTGAAAACAACTAAAATTAAACAAGATAAAAATATTTCTAAATCTTCTCAAAAGCGTCCAAGGGGCAATAAGACAATAAGGAACTACCAGCCAAAGCATGGACACTGAGAAGTCAGCGAGCACAGAGAATGTCCTTTCCTGAGGGCATCTGACCATCCTGGAAGACGAGAACCTTTGTCCTGCACTCTGGGAGAAGGGAAGAGCAAAGCAAACAGGCAGGGAAGAGAGGCCAGAACTCAGGAAGCAGGAGGGTCTGTACCACTGGAGCAGCAACTGGAAGGTCCCAAGGGTGTTAGGGAAGGTTTGTCAGTGAAATGTGTCCAGCAAGTGAGTTATTCCCTAGTTTGCTAATGTTTTTCTCTGTGATTAGGTCGCTTGTGTTTGCTAATTGGTGCAAATTAGGCTCCTGCCAAGGACCTGAGGGTGCTATCTGCGCCCCCTCCCCCTGCTGTTTACATTTCAAAAGGATGGCTCCCAGGCCCTTGAGAAAGACAGTACCTGGTTGTGAAACTACCAAGAAGCTTTTAAAAAGATTTACATCTCAAGTGGGCAAAGAAAGAACAATGACAAGTTTTCTAAAGTCACTATTCAAAGAAAAAGAAGATCAGGGGCCTAGCGTCAGGAAGAAGCTTGTCTGAAGCCTCATCCAACTGGGGAAACACAGAAGTCAGCTTGGCCGGAGTCCAGCCGGGGACACCCTCCAGACAAGCTGAGCTTCTGACGCATTGCCCTCTTAGGGTGACAGTGACCCAGAAGTGGAACAGCCACCTAAAATGACAGCGGTGTTTGGACCCTCTGGGTGGCTCAGGGAGCTGCAAGTCTTGAACGTGGTTTCAGGTAGTTCTGGATGAAGGCTGACCACAGAGAGGGCTGGAAGCAAATTCAAATCCTCTCTGAAGATTGTTTTTTAAATGTTCATTGTGGGCCTCAGATTACACGTACGAATAATATTCCAAGACAGTATCCAGCCCACAGCCAAAGTTAGCCAAGCACACCTGGTGAAACACGGCTCTGGGAATGCACTTCCCCACCAGCGCTGCGCCTGTGGATGAGCCTGGCAGCGGGAAGGAACCCAAATCTGTGAAATAACTCAAAGAGATTTATTCTGCGCTGAATACAAGTGGTCTCCCCGTGGTTGGGTGACAGTTTGGTTTTACACATTTTAGGGACACAGAAATTACACGTAAAGCCATAAATCAATACATGGAAGGCGTACATTGGTTTGGCCCCAGAAAGGCAGGACATCTCAAAGTGGGCAGTTGCAAGTTATAGGTGGGTTTAAAGATTCTTTGATTTGCAGTTGGTTAAAGAAATGAAGCTTTGTCTAAAGCCTTGGAATATTTTTAAGTAAGGATGTCTGTTAATCAGAGAAAACCACCAGACCTACACTGTGACTCAAGTGATCTGTTAAGTAAATCGATGACCTGCAGGTGTGGTTTAATCTTCGTCTTATCGGCCTGTTAGTGATTCAGTATCTTATTATCACAAAGGGACGGGCATAATTAGGCGTGTCTGACCTCCCTTCTCCTCATGGCCGGCAACTCAGCTTTAAGGTTTTCTGGGGTCCCCTTGGCCAGGAGGGGGGTCCGTTCAGTCAGCGGCGGGAGGGGTGAGCTTAAGGTTTTATTTTCGTTTACAGCTGGTGGGAAACACATGAACATGCTGACTTGACTTCACCCTAAATTCATGGTCCCCGGCCTTAACCAGACTCCTGACGCTGGGCGTCACCACTCTAAATCCTCCTGGTGCTCCAGCCCCTCCCCTGCTCTCTAGACAACTCTTTCCTACCTTCTCCTCCCCTCCCCATTCCCGGTGGGTGACCTCACTTCTTCTTTCTCTAAGAAAACAGAAATGACCAGAAGAGACCCTCCCAAACCCTCCGCCACTGTGTCCACTGACCTTCAGGCTGTGCCCGTGGACTCTGCTTTACTGTGGACAAACTGCCCAGACCCCCGAGCTAAGCCCAGTTCCTCCAACTGTGCGCAAAGCCCGATGCTCTCTCCACTCCGGGACCGTGCTCCAGCCTTCCGTCCCCTGCCCGTACCATCAATAGCCCCTCTCTCCTGGAACGCCGCCGTCAGCACACAACTGTGCACTGTCTCCCATCTTTACAAAAGAACATTCCCTAACCCCATTTTCCCCTCCAGCTACAATCTAATTTCTCTCCTCTTTACTGCAAATATTGCAGATGTAGGTATCCAGACACGGGATCTCCAATTTCTCTCCTTCCATCCTCTCTCGAGACCCCTCCCTCACCACTCCAGTCAAATGGCTCTTTAGCAAGGTCTGCGATGATGTCGATGTCCT